GGGAGAGGCTGGGATGTTGGGGAGGGGGGGAGACTGGTGGGAGATGGGATGCAGTTGGGGGGAAGGAGCTGGGGTCCAGAATAGCTGTGGGCCCTTCTCCCCTTAGTTTGCACTGTTTCCCCCAGCACACCAAGAACAGCAAGAGCACCAACAAGTACGAGGGCTGGCCAGAGGCGCTGGAGATGGAGGGCTGCATTCCGCAGAAAACAGCTGATGGCCAGTGACACCCCACGCTGTGGGCCCCACACCAAGGCTGGCTGCTTCCTCAAGCCTGAGCCTTGCAGGGACTCTTTTCTCCAGCCCCCTCCCACCCCCAGGATGGGCCAAGCTGGTTCTAGAGGGCACTACCCTTGTTCATGTTCTCATCCAGCACCTGGAGATTTGAGGCCCCACACCCTCTAAGTGCCTTAGTCCCCCAGACAGCTGATAAACCCAGGCACGGTTATTTCCGTAAGGCCGGGCAGGAGACATTTTCCCCACTCTGCCCATGGAGAGAGATGTCCCTAGTTCCAGCCTGGCAGGAGAAATGGGGACTGCCTCAGACAGTGTCGTTCCTGGGCTGGTAAGTCCAGCCCCCCAGCGGAAAGGAGGAGGTTGGGGTAAGGCAGGGGACCTCTAGCCTTCTACTTGCCAGGGGGTCCGAATAAATGCATGGAACCCATGTCCATCCGTAGGGGGCAGGGGGTTGCAGCCATTCCTCCCCTAGAAGGAAGAGCCTCTCGCCTAATGTTTGTCCCCCAAAGAGGGCCTGAGAAATGGGGCCAAGTCAATCCTTTGCCTCTGTGTGAAACTAAATAAAGTGGGAGATGAAATTGTGTTGTTAAATGCAAAGTGAAAACACTCCATCAACTGACTGAGCCCCCTTGCAAGTGATACCAGCTAATATGGCCCCCTGACTCAATCTGCACAGTGAGGCTGCTGGTTTCCAGCCTTCATCAGAGACCTCTCTATGTGCAGCAGCAGGCAAAATGCAAACAATGTTGGGAATCAAAGAGATAGCTAGTACGACAGTGTCTCTCTGGCAATCCATGGTAGGCCTACATCTAAGATACTGTGTGCAGCTGGGGTCACCCTTGGAATTGTAAAAGTTTTTTAAAAAGCAACAGAAATGATCAGGGCTTGCCAAGCCGCGGCGAGCTCCGCTCGCTAGCTGCGCATGTGCAGACCGCTGTGCATGCACTGATTGTGCTGTGGCACCGTGCCAGGCTATAATCTGTTCGCCCATGGCGAGTAGATTACCTAAATTGTCAAACCCTGGAAATTATTAGGGTTTGGAGCAGCTTCTGTAGGAGAGATCAAAAAAGACTGGGACTTCTGCACGTGGAAAAGACGCAACTAAGGGGGAGGAGATATGCTAGAGGTCTATAAAATCATGACTGGTGTGGAGACAGTAAATATGGAATTGTTACATGCCTCTTCATAGCAGAAGAACTAGGTGTCACCAAATAATAGGTGGCAGGTTTAAAGCAAGAAGTTTTTCCATACACAACACACAATGAACATGTGTAACTCCTTGCCAAAAGATGTCGTGGAGGCCAAAACTAAGGCAGGGTTCAATAAAGAGCTAGACGAGTTCATGGAGGCAGGTCCATCAATGGCTGTTAGCCAGGGGAGTAGGAAGGGTCTCCCTAGCCTCTTTCAGAAGCCGGGGATGGGTCACTAGATGATTCTCTGTTCAGTTCATTTGTTCTGGGACAGTGGTTCCAACTGTGCTCCTGGAGTCGCTAGCTAGAAGGCTGGTTTTCTAGCCCTTGGTCATTTGCAGGGCTCTTCTCTGAGCCTTCTGCCTTTGGACACCATCACTCTGTCCCCCGGCTGTGCTCGCTCACCTAAGCAAGAGCCTTGTAGAGTCTGGGGCTTGGTCCTCGTGGGGGCAGCCTGGGTGGGGCCAGTGTGTTGAGACGAGTCCAAAACTCCGGGATGCTCCGCCATTGATTCACCAGGCCTCTCCACTCTCAGGCTTTGATCCTCCTGCTTGTACTGCCTCCGGGGCCCTTGGTGGCTCCCCTGCTGGGGACCCTCCTGGACACAGGCTGATGCCTGGCGGGCCAAAGACCCCTCGCGCTGCACCCCCCCCCCATGGGGCTGAGCCAGGAGACCAGCCTCCCCCCGGCCAGTGTAGTGGGAG